TTTTATACTTCTTTTTTTTATTTATTACTTTGATTGCCCGTCAACTTTGCTGCTGTTGTACAGAAATGTCTCCATTGTGGGACAATAAAAACTGCATTTCTTCTTCTTCTCCCTCTTGGTTAGCACTGCAGCCTCACAGCAGGAAGGTCCTAAATCTTTCCGTGTGGCCTCCGCTTGTTTTTTTTTTTCTATAAATGTGTTGTCTTTCTAATAGTAGTCCACTTTAAAGTTTATCTTCTGTAAGAATCAGCATGTTCTACGGCATGACCATAGGGCAGTCTTTTTTGTGTGTTTTTTTTTAGATTAACACAGGCTGAAACAATGCTTGTTTTGATTCTCCATATGCATTCCTACATCATATGGTTTTCAGCAGGGAGATCGACATGATAAATGCTCCTTTAAGAAGCTTGCATGATAGAAATCCTCCCTCAAAGCCAGGTCACATTCCATTCGAGAAGCTGAAGTAAATGTGAGAGAGCTCGACGGTCAGTAATGACGCATGTGCTGATCCATAAAGGCTTTGCAAGTCCTGAGTAGCTTTTATTCTGGGCGGACATGATCCGCCGAGTATTTTTCCATCTCTCGTGGCGTCTGATGAGTGAGAAGAAATAATAATAGCTCAAGTGCCTCAAGCGATGTACAAAAAAACCCAAAAAAACAAAGGGAACAGAATCACATTTAGATCATTTTGAGATGCAGAGAAGCAGCCAGAGCAAGTATTCAGTATTCACACTCGTACTTTTCGGATGAAGCCTTTGCCGACCTCCTGCAGCAACATCCTTACTGCTGTGAATATTGACCTATTTCCCTCCATCCTGTCGAAAGAAACAAAGGCTGAACTACCAATTTATGAGCACATTTTTCTAGATGAAGATAAGTGCAGATTAAGCATGATGAATGCATGCTTGCAAGTCTTACACTAAGTGAACGCACATGGCTTGTAAAAGTGCAGTGTTTTGGTTGTGATGTGTGTGTGTATCTTGGCAGCATGCCCAAGGCTGATGTTGATAAAGTGTGACCACGTGTCCCCAAACGAGGAAAAGATGGATGCATGCCAGTGTACATAAATGCCATTTTCTGAAAAATAGCTATTTCGAACCCTGGCTTTTTGAATCCCTTCCTCACTTCTTTGCTCCAAACCCAGTTGTTTCTCTCATACTTTTAAAAAAAAAAAAAAAAAAAAAAAACCACGGTACTCATATGGCTTTGACAGAGCTGATTCTAGGAACTGCTGAACAGTTTCTTGGAGATTTACCCAGGCTGGACCAAACCTGTTCTGTAGCACAGGCTGTGTGGGGAGTCAGATTAAAAACCTTTAGCGTAAAACAAATCTGAAACCATAAACAAGTTGATATGTTTTAGATTCCCCACTGCGAACACTTTAAACACGCGCAAACTTTTATGTTTTTCGGTTTTGGCATCAGACAGTTTTTGTTTTGATCGGTCACAGAGCTCCAAAATATTCATATCAGTGAATTATTTGATGTCAAAGTTCACGTGGAAAATCACAGCTTTAATGCAGCAGGAAGTGTGCCAAGAGTGAAAGTAGTGTAGCTGCGATGTTGCAACACTGCGAGGAAGAGACCGCATCACATGATCTCTGCTGGCAGAAGCCATGTGTTTACATCCTGCGTACTGCCCGTGTCCCTTTTTGTTTGCCGGTACCGGAAGGCTGCCCTGCGAATATTTCAGAAAGGAGTGTAAAAGGAATGTCTTTTCAGTAAAAAAAAAAAAAAAAAAAAAGATCGTGCCTTCAAAGTGGCCAGAGATATTAAAAATAATAAAGCTTTTAGGACTGAGTGAGTTCTGGTTTGTTTGCTGTCATGTTGAAAGAGATTTTTTTTAGCGCCATTCTATACTCCGTTCTTTGTTGTGGTGGGTGGTCATTCTGCATTTGAAAATGGTGCAAACTAATACTTAGAATAGTGGGGACCGATCAGATCCCACTGTCATTTTGAGTTAAGTGGTTGTTGGATGTTATCTCGCAAGCTAATGATAAAATAAAACTAATGATCAGGGCCAACTGAGCATGATCTCCTTCTGCGCAATCACACAACCTTCAGATGAAGTCAGGAATCTTCTCAGCATACCGCTGCCTCCCTTCTACCTTTTGCACAACAAAGGGAAACATGTTGACATATTTCTGGCTGAGCAGCTGCAACAAAGTATGCCCCCATAAGCTGGAATATGGCAGCCCCAAAATTCAATTTCAATGCCATCCAATACCACAACAACGAAAACGGAGAGATTTCTACGTTGTGTTGCCCCGACACAAAGCTATGAAGCTTTGATGACGTACACATATACATTTGAGGTTTGTTTCCTCAAGAGCGCCAGGTTACGGGTTCCTTTTAAAAACTCATGTTGTTTTGTGGTAGCAGGAATGAAAACAAAAAGGGAAAGACAACAGTAGATGCTGCTTGTTTGATTTAAAGTTTGGTTATTTTGTCCTTATTTAACAGAGAAAAGGCAAGAGATTACAGTTTCCTGCAGAGCACACAAGACAGAAGTACAAGGAGGTTTAACTGTGTTAAACAGCTACAGTACATCCAGAATGTCAGCCCCGCAGTTTATTTTGGCACAGAGACATACATTACAGCACAATGAGGTCATAAAGTACAGTGTGTCCTGAGTATGTATATGATAATCTTTATGTATGTGATCCGTGCCTTCCTCTGAATCTGCAGTTCAGTCTCAGAGGAAACAGGGGACAGCACATCCGCAGGGTTCCTGCCCCCAAGATGTGCTGCTTGTAAATACTCAAGCAGATATCTTTTCGCACTGTCTGTTTATAAAACTTTCCAGCTTCCCCATCAAATGATTCTCCCAGGGAGGTAGGGATATTTGCATTACCGCACTACAGCTTGACTGAAGTGCAGAAAGTCACTCGTTTTGTTTTGCCCCCCAGCCTGCATTTCAACAATGGCAGTTGATGGAGATGGAAACTTTTGTTGTTTTTTTTAATCTACGGCAAACCGTTTCAGACATAATGAAGTGCCCTTAGAATAGAAAATATTACGTACAACACAAAGTATTCAGCTTTTAAAATCCACACTTTCTGCATCCTCAGAACAGATCTATCCTGTCACTTTTACTCAAAAGCAGATTTTGTGCAGCTATATCTGCTTTTAGTAAGCATATTAAACTTAGCTAAATACGGCAAGTGCTTTACAATAAACAGCGACCCAATTCTTATTTTATTGCTGATGATAGACTCAATAATTTCATACAGCCTTAAATAACTTGCAAACTGGATGCTTTTCTTTTAAGAAGGGAAATAGCAAATATCTTTTTAAGCTCTGGATCAACTTTGTTTAAATGAAAAAAAATACATAAACAAAAGTGTTGTAGGCTTTATTATTGCCCAGGTCAAAAATATTTCTTTTACTTCTTTGTAATTTTAGTTTGAAATTAAATTATATATTTTTATCTGGCCAATCAGTAGTTTTGACTGAATGATTTTGAATCATTTGAAAGTTTGGACACCACTGACCTAAACCAAAGGATTCATCTGTAGTCTGTAAGCGTTAAAAAAAAAAAAAAAAAAAAAGCAAGACAGCAGCTTTTAAGATATTTAGAATATTGTTGTTTATAGTTGCTGGACTTGGAAAGTTATGAAAACTGCCAACTGCACGTTTTCAATTTTGGCATATTACCTTCGGAAGGAAACGTAAACAAGGGCATACACGTTATTTTAGCTCTTTGTCCTCTGCTGCCCTCTAGCGGTTGTATTGAATTGTTCATGAAGTTGGAAAAGTTAAAATTGGATTACGTTGGACTTTTGCCACTGGTCTGCATCTTTTATTTGTTCCATTCATATTTTATGACGTATTCTAAAATTTTATTGCTGCACCCTCTCTGTTTTTCTGCCTCATTTATAGGACTCCGACCAAAGACATTATAAGTATTACTTCAGTAATAAATGACTCATCTTCCCTTGTTTGTGTTTCAGGGAGTTTCCACACCTAACTTGAACATGAACCTGTATGCTACCAAGAAGACAGTAGCCGAAGGCATGCTGGACATCGCTCTGTTCCTGGCTAACATCACGCACATGAAGACCGTCATTGAACAAGGAGCAGGATACAGGTATGCCGCTGCGGGTGTTTCTTAGGACACTGCACTCGTTGTTGCATCAGTAGTGCATTTGGCAAACACTTTTGTCACGTTTTGATTCTCAGGTACTATGCTGCTGTCCTGACGCTCATATCCTTCTCCCTGGCTCTCCAGATAGTTGCCGGCGTTTTGATTATCATAATAGGTGAGCATTAGGAAAATAAGTCACCCTGACTTCAATTTCAGATCTTTTTTTTAATTGTTTCCCTAACCCTATTAACACATTAATTCATTTACACGCTATCTTTTTTTTTTTTTTAGCAAATTTTGGTACAACGCGTCTGTTCCAAGTGTTTTCCTGCATTTTGTCGTTTAGTTTTTGCATGCGTTGATCAATGTGTGTTGCAGCCCGACGGGACTTAAATGAAGAGGCCAACCAGAAACGCCTGGACAGCTTGAACAACAAAGCAACCCTCGCTATCTTCCTCATCTTCATCACCAACATCTTTATTTCTGTGCTTGGGATGGAGCGCACCGGCCTATTTGCCAGGATGCACTTCTGACTCTCTGTTTTAGCCGAAATGATTTTTATTTCTAACACATCTGATCGGACCGATGGACACACGAGTTGGTGTAACTTACTGTCCTACTCACCGAATAACACGCTTTTTATGTCATCAAGTGTGAATGGACTCGGCCAAAGGACCAACTAGTTGTGTGACTGTCTCCATTTTGTTGTCTGTCTGTGCATATGCGTCTGTCGCGTGTGTGTGTGCGCTGCTGACGTGTGTGAACGTGTGTGTCTGCACAGCTCGTTTTGAGCTGACACTCCTCCCCTCGTACCGACGATGTTTGAACTTCCTGAACAATCTGGTCACTGGCATCATCTTCCTCACCCTCCTTGTAAACGTCGTCAAAGCCGCATTTGGCACACAGCGCAGCTGCCTTCTCCGGTGGCTATTTCATCGCTTTATCTTATAAGTCACACTTAGCTAATGTACAGTAAGTACATTGATTCATAGACATAACATTACATTTAAATTTCCAATGAAATTTTTAATAAAAACCCCTATTGTTCGTGTATTTACTCAGATTAGCAACATGTGGGATGTTCAGGGTGCTTTTTCCTATTTCTTGCCAAAGTACTGGAAGTGATTGATTGTCAGCGGCAACTGACTCTGATTGGTTGTTTCAGACCAGGAGAAGTGCATTTCTGCAGATGGCAGTAGAACCACATGGAGGAGGCAGAGAAGATTGATGGGGGGTTTTTTCACAAATTATCTGTCTCATGTAATATTGTCACAACATAGTGAGTACAGTAGTTTTACTAAATGAGTAAAACAAACTTTTTTTTTTACAAAAGTTACATGCAGCAGCTTTAACCCTCATCTTACAAAATAGCTTTAGCTACATACCTAAAAAAATCTAAATAAAAAGACATTTAAAAAAAATGTTTTGCTGAAATAAAACTCATGGTTTATAATGTGTTGCTACAACCAATAGGTGATTAACTTAGCATAGAGCAAAACTAGTTTTTAAGCTATGCTAACATGCTACAAGCTTTTGAAAGGTATTGAACATATATAGTAAAGTTATTATTAATAATAGCAGCATTATCCATGTATTATGAATAGATGGATGGTAGCAGTAGCTGGTTAGCTAGCTTAGCACAGAGGAAACCTTGAATTTTAAAACAATGCACTTTAGCAAGATAGTAGTGGGGCTCACTTTTTACTTATTTTAATTAAAGTACCATCCTAATAAACCAGTACATAAGAATCAAAGTAAAGTGACCAAACATCAAACTCATCAAAGCTGCTCTCATAAATCTGAGATTTTAAACAGATAATGGTGAACAAAATGCTGTATAAAACGCTGTTCTATTCTTAGAAGTTAAAGGTAACAGATATAAGCCAGAAAAATGGCATAGGCCTATAATGAAATATGATTAATTCAATTTTTCCAGTTGAAGACAAGTTTGAGCTTATTTACGCCAAGGTTTTGCTGGGGGTGTGGGTTTCCAGTTAAAATATAAATTAGACAACACGGAGGCTGGAGGGGTGTGTGACTGAATAGTGTGAATGTGTGGAAAGGATAATAGTGAGATTGTAAGCAACAACCGCATGCGTGCGTGTGTGTTTGATGGTAATGTGGGAAATTGTTTGTTGTGTCTGCGTGCGCACGTGTGTGTGTGTGTGTGTGTGTGTGTGTTTGTATGTTGTAGCCCGCAGGGACCTGAATGTGGTGTCCAATCAGAAGCGACTCGACTACCTGAACAACGTCACCACGGGCGTCATCTTTGCCACCACGGTGACCAACTTCTTCGTTAGTTTCTTCGGCTCCAAGAGGACGGGCTTCTTCCGCTGGCTCCTGGCCAGACTCCACTACTGACACAGACAAGGCCGCAGACGCCGTCTGATGTACACTGACACAGCTCAACGATGAGGACGAATTCAATTCAAATACAATTAACACCTTGATCTGAGACAAAATTAAGGCAAATAAATGGACTCTTTGTAAAGAGACTCAAACTGTAATCTAACTAAGCTTTTCCCTGTCTCACCGTTTCTTTTGTGGGGCTGCGATCTTCAGACTTTTATACAACTTTTCTGTCTTGTCTGTTGTTTAATGAGTTTCAGTAAACATTTTTACTCCATATTTGTACTTAACCTAAAAAACTGCTTATAAAAATGCTTTTGAGGTTCAGTTTCAGTGAGGAATAAGGGTCGACGACTGTAAGCTTTCACCTTCAGGAACTTGAAGAAATCCAGTGATTTGAAGAAAACTTGGGCTGAGCCTGTTTAGTTTTTACAAAGAAGTAAAACATAAATGGACGTCCAGAAGTATTAAAGCAGGCATGATGAAATAAAGTTGCTTTTTTTTCTCTGTATTTTCTTTATTGTTATTGATTTAAGAGGGACAGTATGATGCAGACTTTCTTTTTGTTTGTTGTGCACTTGTGCCTTTGTGTGACACAGGCCGTCGGGATCTGAACAACTCTACTCTGCAAAGGCGTCTGGACTACTTGAACAACGTAACAACCATCATAGTCTTCGTCACAACAGTCCTCAACTGCTTCGTCAGCACGTTTGGCATGCAGCGGACTGGATACTTTCCGTGGCTAATGATGCGCATTCATTAATACGCACATCAGCTCTACAGCAGCTCATGACGCATTTTTTTGGCAAATTGGTAGCTTTACTGTGTAACTTTGCAATAACAAACTTCTAGGGGAGGTGGTTTGCGAGGGAGAGGCGCTATGCAGCAGTGTTTATTTATCAATTAGCCTGATTATTAATTATAGGCGTTTGTTCTCGTGTTGAGAGTGAATATTAGAGAAATCCAGACAGGACAGCTCCAAACCTCTTCTCTACAGATGACTGTACCAAAAAAGAAAAGGGAAAAAAAATGCACATATACTAATTCTGTTGCTGATTATTTCTTTCATCCTCCTCTCTTCATGCAGGTAAAGTTCAATGAAGTAATATAGCTGATCTCTTAATTTCAGTTGCATCAACAACTCCTTTTCTACAGCCTACGTTTTTGTTGTTGTATTCTTGGTAAATCCCAGCCAATTTCATTAGCCGAGTCTCTGACTGTAGCCACTCTGCAATCACTAAGCATTTTCTCTTTTCTTGCAGCTAAATACTTGTAGAAACTCTACCCAATAAATATATATCCATCTGTATCTATATAAATTATATATATCTATAAACATTTTTATAAGTATGACAGTATAAATTGATAATAAAGAGAAAATTATTAGTTACAGGGCTGTCATTTGAAGACTATGTAAATAAAGCTACAATAAATTGCAGGTATTGGCTCATCAGGTTATTGCTTTCACTGACGTTATTCTGTGTCATGTGACTGAGCTTTATTGTACATTTCAATAGTTTTATACTAGAATGCAAATGAATAAATTCCTGTTTATGCCAAATAAAGCTTCATTTCAGAAATTGGAGAAGTGCAGTGAAATGTACAGATTTATATCCACAAATATTTCTCCAAAATGATGCTGCGTTGCAGGTATGTAGAAATGGATATCTATATTTTCTGTAGTGTTTTTCAAAAACAAAATCCTTTGAATGTAATTCACTTTCTCTTCTTTTTAGTGTGAACATTTGTAAAGAGTAAAACCCATCAGATATAAATGTTAGGTGCCCGGGTCTTTATTTAAAGGCCCGTTTGTTATATGATAATACGGGGTCTGTGTCATGACACGTGGTGGGAAAATGCACAAGAAGATGCGTTTGACAACAGGACAAAGATTTGAAATTAAACTGATGGCTGAATCGGGAAGCAGTCTCATGGTTGCAAGAAACTTTAACAGAAAACATGGAAAGAACAAAACTTATCTGCAAGTTTCAGAAAACTAGAAATGTTCACGTATTAATCTGCGTATTCAAACAATGGCGTCATACAGAGCACATTATTAAACACGGTCGACCAACAAAAAAATGCTTCTTTTTGCTATGGAAACTGATGCGTTTTTGATGCGTTTGACAAAACGCATCAGTTGAACCTCTTGTGGTCAACGAATCACACGTCACCGATTAACGTCATTTACCCGCTGAACCAGAGTCCTTGAATGTAAGCCCTCTGCGATCATTTGGTCACTAATAATTTTCACAATTAGACATGTCACAATAACAAAATTGGCTGAATGATAAATTGTTCCAGTAGTTAATGTGATAAACGATAATATTGTAGTTCATGTGATACCATTTTTAAGCACTATAATGGTAATGGCAGAATAATAATAAACCAAGAAAACATTCTCAAAGATTAATAAACTTTCAATTGTAATGAACAGTTCACACTGGAACTGGAAAACATTTTAAATATCGAAAACAAATCATAAAAACAACAAATAAATAAATAAATTTTGACGTCTTGGTAAACACAAGTGTCCATCAAAAAGGGGCTGGAGAACAAAGCACCAAATTAAACATTTTATAATCCAAATTTGGAAGAAAGAGGGAAAAATAAAAAACAGATAAACGATAAATCATGTCAATGGAAATTATTCAGTTTGCTTAAATTGATCATGTGATTAATTGATTGAATAATTATTGTGACAGGCCTACTACAGTATTTGAATTTACCTAATTAGTACGTACGTTCGTACATACGAACACCTGACTGGCTCCGCTGGTCATTGGTCACGTGACCCTCCTGTGGCGAACTCCGACTCCGAATGCCACGTCACACATTGACGTCAATGACCCGCTGAACCAGAGTCCTTGAATGTAAGCCCTCTGCGATCATTTGGTCACTAATCATTTTCTTTGTCTTTCAGGTAAATGCTTGTAAACACAAAACCCACCCTGTAGATCCAAACTGTAGATCTATAATGTAGATATAAACAAGTACTTATATCTACATCACGGTATTTTGTTAGACACTCTTAATCTAGGTCCTCTGTGATAGTTTGGTCACTTACTCTTTTCTATTTTGTGTCAATATTTGAAAAAACAAAATCCCAAATATTATAATGTATAATTACATTATATAAGCTGCATACTTAAATAATGTAAAATTTTATTTGAGATAATTACTGTTTAAGACGAAAAAATGAAAGGGCCTGCATTCAAATACTGTATGTAATTCATTTCGTACATATAGACCTTGATCTTGCGATTAATTGATTGAATGATTATTGTGACAGACCTAGTACAGCATTTGAATTTACGTAATTAGTACGTACATTCAAACATACTAACACCTGATTTGCTCAGCTGGTCATTGGTCACATGACATCCTGTGGCGAACTCCAACTCCGAATCCCACGTCACAGATTGACGTCAATGAGCCGCTGAACCAGAGTCCTTGAATGTAAGCCCTCTGCGATCATTTGGTCACTAATCAATTTCTTTTGCAGGTAACGTTAGGAAACAATACCCATGAAATATAAATTATCTTTCTTTAGAGAAACAGAGTTTAAATATATAATCTCTCTCTTTCTCTCTCTAGCTATAAAGGTAGAGAGAGAGAGTTTATATATGTTAAACCTATAAGGAACCACACAGATATTGGATCTGTTGTCAGATCCAATATCTGGCAACTCGCCACTGTTCCAACTCGCCATTGTCGCTCAGGTACCAACTCCTCTTAAACCTTGTGCTGATTTCCCTTAATGAGCCACAGCTGTTGAGTCTACACCTGTAGGTCACACCCTGGAGGAGAACAGATTATGGCAAGCCGTTTTAACATAAATTCGGTTTCGTCTGACTATCCGTAATTACATTCCAGATATCTAAAAATGCATTTTGACTAGATAAAACTACATTTTGACTATCCGGAATGGTAATTTAAGATATCTGTATTTACATTCTGACTAGTAAGAATAATAATTCAAGATATCTTCAATTACATTTTGACTAGTCAAAATTCCTTTCAATGACGTAACTGGATCTGTCATTTGACGGGACACATATCCGTAATTACAATTTAAGATATCTTCAACACAATTATGACTAGTCAAAATTACAATTTTAGATATCTGAATTAAGAATGACGTGGAAGCCCCTTTGTGGTGTCCAAACAGTTGCCTGCAGAATTTTACGTTTCCTGCACAAAATTGTCAGTAAATGCCACAAATTAGAAAGAGTTCGACAATGTTGGAAATGCGGACATAGTAAAACTTAATAAACTATAAGACTGCTTCTGATATCTGCAAAGAATTTCCTGTTTATTCATTTCCGACGAACCCAATGCACTTAAAAACAGCTTTCAAAAGCTAAAATTGCTATTGTCAAACCATTTTCAACATGAAAGTGGCCCATTTTCGAACATCTTTTTTCGTTTTCTCTACTTTTCATTGTTTTATTAAACTTTCAAATTGCTACGTAAGTCAGGGACCTTTTGACTAGACAGAATACTAATTCAAGATATCAATAATGTCATTCTGACTAGTCGGAATGTCAATTTAAGAAATCTTAAATTGAAAAGCTGTGTAATTCAAGATATCTATATTCAATTCTATCTTAAAAGGAATTTTGACTAGTCAAAATTACAATTCAAGATATCTTTAATTTAATTTTTGCCTAGTCATTATTTGAATTTAAGATATCTATAATTTAGTTTTCACTAGTCAAAACTACATTTCTCCTATCCAAAAATACATTTAAGATATCTTGAATTATGGAGTCATTAGAGATATCTTTAATTAGAATTATGACTAGTCAAAACCAAAATAGAGATATCTTGAATTTACTTTATGACTAGTCATAATTTAATTGTAGAGATCTCAAATTTTTATTTCAGATAGTCAGTAATTCATTTGAGATATCTTGAATTGAAGTCTCCATACAAGTCAATGGTAAATCTGACGTAATTTCGACTAGTCAGAATGTAATTAGAGATATCTCAAATAGTTATTTTGTCTAGTCAAAATATAATTTGAGATATCTTAAATCGCTAAAACGTCTAGTCATAAAACAATTTGAGATATCTTTAATGTAAGGGCGGTAAAACCGAATTTATGTTAAAATGGCTTGCCATAAACGGAACAAAACAACCTTCAGACCTCAGTGTACATGACGTTTCGAAAAAGAAACTTAAAAGTGCAGTTCATTAGATAGTTATCATTTCCGGCAAAGGCGAGGAGAAGATCGTTCAGATATTCTAGACAAAAAAGACTGCGTGCCTAGAACGAGACTGAAATCAGACAGAGACGACGACGCAGGTAAAATTCACCCTTCTTTGAATATTTATTCGGATTTAGTAAGACAGTTTTTTTTATTTCTGGTGATGCTGCTAGGATTTCAGACCTACTCTGACCTTAAGCTGAATATGGAAATCTTAATAAAATAAAACATGTTATACACTCTAACTACTGCAGAAAACATATACTTGTGCTGTACTGTGCTAGACAGTTAATGCATGCATTTTAAATCAGTAAAAAAATATTAATGAAGCAACTGTTTATATTTATGGAAATTATTGTCAGGACCTTGGCATACAAATTGGCAAAGTAGGTGCATGTTTTAACATCTTTACAACAAACCAGTTCACAGCAAATCAGTCATCATTCAGTTGTCAACAGACTTCCTGCAGCTCTTCATAAGTAGGAACTGTTAATTACACAGGATCTAGAAATGTTCCCTCTTTAGAGTAAGAATGTGAACATACACTAGATGAAGTACATCGCTGCTTGTGCTACCTGCTTGATATACTGAAAGGTCCACATCCAAGGTTTTTGTCCATTTATGGACAGTCTGGGAAGATCCGATTTCTTGTAAAATTGCCATCCTTAAAATAGTCAGATAACCAGGAAGTTTTGGTTGCATTTGTGTCTTCATTGCCACTCCCCACAAACTGAATTCAAAGTATGTTCAAACTGGTTCTTTCATGTTCTTATCATTGGCTCCACCTCTTACTGTCAACAACAAGGTCCATCTGTCACCAAGAAACTTTAATAAATGTTTCTTGTTGCTATTTAGCTCCAATACCAAATACCCAAGTGATTTAAAAAAAAAATAGCTGATTAAGAATTGATTTGTATGTTTGGCAGTTTTAATGATCAACACTTATTTCTTGTTCTTTTGCTCTGCCTCTGGCAAAAAAAACAAAACAAAATACCGTAATGTTTTTGTTTTTTTTTGTTTGTTTTTTGCTTTTGAGATATTTTTCCCCCAGTGACCTCAAGTTGTAGTATAATCTTTCATTTTAATGACATAAACATGCATTAATTCACAGGTGGCTATTTTTTATTATCTTGTTAGAATTAAATTCACTCCTCTGGTTTAAATTTTGAATGTCAAACTCAATTGATCAATTATCCTTTTCAGACATGGCCTCAGCTTGCAGCATCCTGTATGAAGAACAGGTCCTGTGTTCAATCTGCCTCAGTGAGTTCAAAGAGCCCGTCTCCACTCCATGTGGACACAACTTCTGCAAGGGCTGCATCACCCAGTACTGGAACAGTCAGGACAGTAGACCTGCACAGTGTCCCCTCTGCAAAAAGAAGTTGGGCAATAAACCGAAGCTGCAGGTTAATTCAGAGTTCAGAGACGTGGTGGAGCATTTCAACCATACGAGATTAAAGACTGGTCCCAAGATTGTTGCCCAACCAGGAGAGGTTCCATGTGACATCTGCACCGAACCCAAGCTCAAAGCCCACAAGACGTGCCTGGTGTGTTTGGCCTCGTATTGCAAGCCACACCTGGAGTCCCACCAGAACCTGAAGAAGCACAAGCTGATCGATCCTGTGTCCAACCTGGAGGACAGGGTGTGCAAGAAGCACGACAAGATGCTGGAGCTCTTCTGCCGCACAGACCAGAAGTGTGTTTGCATAATGTGTTTAAATGACGACCACACGGGGCACGAGGCTGTCCCACTGGAGTGCGGCTTCAAAGACAGGAGAGGCATGTATGAGAATGTGACCTTAGACATGAAAAAGACGGAGAACTCCAAATCACAGAGTGTTAAAAAACTCAAAGATTCAGTTCAGAAGAGCAGGAAAATATCCGTCAACGACATTGGACAGATTGCAGAAGTTTTGGCAGCCCTGGTGCTTTCTTTACAAAAAAAGCAGGATGAACTGGTTAGAGCAATCAAACAGAAGCAGATAGAATCAGAGAAACAAACTGAAGGTCGGATCACTCTGCTGGAGCAACACCTTTCTGATTTGAGAAAAAGAAGGTCTGAAATTGAGCAACTGATAAAGTCAGAAGACTATCTTTACCTGCTGCAGAACTGTCCATCCAATTTTACATCTGCGAATGCCACTCTGTTAGACCCACTTACTGAACAGCACACCTATGCAGGGTTGGTGAAACAGTCAGTAGGTCAAATAAAAAAGAGCATCAATAGGGAGATAGACATGCTGATTCAGAAGATCAGTTCGTCTGATTGCTGTGGAGCTGAAAACATGAGACCTTCTACCCCAAATGTGTGGCGTCCGCCGAAGGACAAGCTGATGATGATCCAGCAATGCAATGCAGTCGATGTGACTCTGAACTCCTATAGCGCCCACCCATACATCATTGTATCCGCAGATGGGAAGACACTGAGCTATAGACCAACAGAGCACTTCTTTACTCCTTTGGGCTGGCGATTCAGACATTACTATGCTGTTCTGGGAAATGAAGGTTTTTCTTCAGGTCGGTTCTACTACGAAGTTGAGGTCAACCTGAACAGATCCTGGACCTTGGGAGTGGTCAAAGAGTCCATTAACAGGGATGAGTTGTTCCCATTCACACCTGAGCATGGAGTTTGGGTATTTTTGGGCTCGCTGTGTCCACCAAACATCAGGAGAATTGGTGTATTTGTTGATTACGAGAGGGGAGAAGTCTCCTTCTACAACACAGAGACCAGGGATCTGTTGCATTCCATCGCAGGATGTTGCTTCACTGAGACAAAAACAGGACTGCAAGCTTTTCTTTACTCTGTTGTTGGACTCTCCACTGTTCACAGACCAAAGCTCCACCCTTTCTTTTTACTAAGTGGATTTTTGTCTGATAGTCTTACTATCACTCCTGTGGAATGTACATCCCAAGATGCTTGAGAAGTGTTTTTCTTTTACTCAAATGAATATTTTTGATAGTTCCTACTATCCCTTATATACAATAGCGAGCAATAGTGGAACATTTCTCTGTAACATGTCTTCCTTACAAGTTCTCAACATCCATCAGATCTCCAAAAATACATATTAAAATAAAACAAAGTCTTCCTTTAAATCTCTGGGAGACTGAGAATATTTTACAACCAAACTATCAAAAATTGTGGAACTTATGTGCGAAACTCTGACTTTGTTTCAACAATTTAATGAATTTTAATTAGTCTAATTATTTGTAAACGCACACGTATACAGCGTCTTATCTGTGTTTGAAAAATTAAAAAAAATTTTTGTTTCAAGCCAGTTTTTAAATGCATTCATCTATATGAAACGATAAATGTGTTGCAAATACATAATGCATAAATTATAGATTTCAAATAATACTATATTATAGTACCTATAAATACATACAGGGATTTTAACGTATATGTGAGGGGGCACTAATTTACTGTGTGTAATTAGAACTGTGCAGTTGCCTGCAACTGATTGGGTCAGCAGGTCACTGCTTTTACTGACCGCGATCTGTGTCATGTGACTAACATTTAATGGTCACATGACATGTGATATAGATACATGATGTAGAAACGTAGAAATAGATATTTAAATCTACATCACAGTATTTTTTAGACAGTCTTTGAATGTAGGTCCTCTGTGATAATTTGGTCACTTTCTCTTTTCTTTATCGTGTTGTGGTGGGATGGTGTTCCCCCCTCCCCACTCTGCGCACCGGGTGCAGCAGGAAGCGCACCATTGATTGGTGGGCGGGGCAGATGCCTATATAGTTGGGCGGGCCGCTGCAAGGTGCGTGCGTCTTTGTTTCTCCCACTGTTGCTGCGGTCGGCGGCTACATGTCGGCTTGTGGGTTTGGTCGACTCATCTGCGATCTGTTGCTCTGCTGGCGTTGCCGCCTGCAGCTGGGGGTTGCTGTGGCGGGCGGCTTCAATCTGGTCCTCACCTGCTGACCCGCTTCCTCCCGGGTTAGGCTGTGTTTCCACCCCTGGGTAAGCTACCTGTTTAATGTTTTTCTTATATGGATCCACAGTTAATGGGCTTTCTGTTTCAGGCACTTGATTGTGTTTGGAGCTGCAGCGCTTTGGACGCTCTGCTGTCTTGTCTTGTTTGATTGGGCCACTCAAATAAACCTGTTGCGGATTGGGCAGGCTGTGTGTGCGGGGCATTTCTCCTCTGGCCCCATCGAAGGGCATTTGGAAGCGGATGACAACGACTTGTTCCTTGTTTTGTTTTGTGATTGAAGTTACTAATTTGTTTGGTTTTGATTTACTAATTTGTTTTGCATTGCATGTTTTTATTTCTTTGGAATAATTGAACTTGTCTGTCCTGTTTCCTTTTGTCCCAGGGACCGAGTAGTGGGCCTGAAGCCTCGTTTTTAAAAGGAATTGTTTTAAAGGAATTGTTAAATAAAATATTGTGCACTGAAAGGTCTGTGTTCGGGTGCATCTTGTTAATTTTAAAAAGATCTCCACCTGCTGGTCACAGTGTCAATATTTGTAAATGCACAACCCAAATATTCTACCAGCTTACATAAAGTGTACATGATATAAGCTGCATATTTCAATAAAATATAAGTTGTTTATGACGTTTTTCTTTGAGATGCTTCGCTTTGAAAAATAATTACCGTTTAAGACGAAAAAGGAAAAGGGTCTACATTAAAATACTGTACATAATGAGAACTGTGCGGTTGCCTGCACCTGATTGGCTCAGCTGGTCATTGGTGACCACGTGACCCTCCTGTGTCGAACTCAAAGCCCGAATCCGACGTCACAGATTCACGTCAATGTCCGACTGAACCAAGGTCTTTGAATGTAAGCCCTCTGCGATCATTTGGTCACTAATCATTTTCTTTTGCAGGTAACGTTGGGAAACAATACCCATCAAATATAAATGATCCTTTCTCTCTATCCTTTCTCTCGAAAGGTAGAGAGCGGTTGAAGATATAGATATCTATGTATATCTACATAGATATCTAGATATATCTATATAACACAACAAAATACCACAGGATATGTATATCTTACAGAAAATATATTTAAGAAGTCAAGGAATGTATATTCTGGGTAAAAAAATGATTTAAAAAAAAAGTACAATATCGATTAGCCAAAGTACATTTATGCTTAATCTCTTCAGTTTTTAGTTTTACTCATTAAAATGATCCAAAATTTATTTAAATATCTTGATTCACTCTGAATCGCACTGGATTTGGATGTATCCCAAATCCAGTGGAAGGAATCAACAGTAATCCCAATTTTCAAACAGACTTTTTTTTTTAAATGCTTCGCTTTGAAAATAATTAAACTTTAAGACGAAAAAATAAATAAAATACCCTATATTCAAATATAGTGCAATGACTGTGCGGTAGCCTGCAACTAATCATCTGGTCATTGGTCACGTGACCCTCCTGCGACGAACTCAAACCCCAAATCCCACGTCACAGATTGACGTCAATGTCCGCCTGGACCAGAGCCTTTGAATGTAAGCCCTCTGCGATCATTTGGTCACTAATCATTTTCTTTTGCAGGTAACGTTAGGAAACAATACCCATCAAATATAAATGATCCTTTCTCTCTTAAGAGAAAGATCATTTTTATATTATATATTTATATACAACTATATAAATATATACTGAATTTTTTTTTTGTTTTAAACATTTTTTAAGTACATTTATATTTCTGGAACAATAAACAATTACTGTTCCAGAAATTTCTGGAACAATAGTTGTTCCAGAAATTCCTCAATAGGAGCCTATCGGTAAGGCATCTGATTTTTTTTATTTTTTTATTCATGTTAGAAAATTAGAAATTCTGTCCATTCATCCACTGTCTATTCCCAGTTGTCTTTGAGGTGTCATAAATGCTCATAAGGTGATTCAGTTTATATTCCACCTATTGAGATAAATGATTTCATTCATTAACTTATGCCAATTAATGGCATAAGTTAACCTGCGTTTACCTGTCCATAAAATACCCCACTACTTTTTGCTTTTTTTATGCTGCAACATATATATTTAACAATTTGAAAATACCTTTACAGATTTAAATGTAAAACTGTTTGTGATATGAAGTTTCTTCTTTGTCCACGGTTCCTGTTGAGAGAGAGAGAGAAAAAAGGAATCAGACTGCCCAACAAATGAAAAGCAGCTGTCTGTGTCATTTCTTTTCCCTGGAGAGGAAGAGGCGGGCAGAATCTGACTGTGCAACAGTTGCAGAGAAATGAAACCTACATGTCTGAAGGGAAACGTTTCTTATTCAAAGGACGAGCAGCTCAGCAGGTATTAAACCCATTTTGTTTAGCTCTAATTTTAGAAAGAGTAAAAATAAACATAGTTTGAAGTTTACTAAAGATCCGCACGGATTGAAAAGATAGAGAATATTGGACTATTATGGTAGATCCAGAGAACAGTAAACACGTTTATTTCTCAAACTGAGAAACTATAAACAAAACTGTCTGACTTTGCACATACAGGTTAGGAGATGAGTCTTTAAAGTAATCATGAGGACAAACTGTATTCGTTTTATGGTTAATTTTCCTGCAAATTGAACAAAACAGTGTGTATTTCTGTGTTTCAAAACAAGAACTGGGAGTCAGTCACACGTTTTTCTATCTCAGAAGGTTATGTAAGGACACAAAGTCCCTAAGTTAGCCGATATAAAGTATTTTGACAACGTAATGAATGCCCGATCGAACACAATATAAACATAGCAAAATTTATACACTATTGCAGAAGGCAATAAAGTAATCTTAGTAACATGGAGCTAAGATATAATTGTAAAGTATACACTCTATTGCTTAGCACTTAAGCAGTAAATTGTAGATTTAAAGTGAAATTACTTAAATCAACTACAGTAATAAGGGTTAATTAGGTTAATAAAGTTATCACTTAGTCTTACAATCCTGTGAAAATATGTTTATCTTCTTCCAGCTTTCTAACTTTGTTGTCACTCTTAAATATTTTAAATCACTAATGTTTTAATATGAGATATAAATAACCCAAGTTGTTTGAGCCACAACAGCTGCATCACTTTTCTTCTGTTTTGCTTTGTTTTGATGTTTTTTTTACTGTGGAGAAATTTTTATTTCAGTTGAGTGATAGAACGTTTCTGAACTACAGAATCGAGATTAAAATCTAGATAGACTTTGACTAGGCTACTCCAAAACCTTTTACCTGTGAATAAACTCAACTTTCGAAAATGTGGTAAATTCATGCCTTAGTGACACAAGTGAATACTTTTTCACATAGGACTGAATTGGTATGGATCACTGTTTCCCCCCTAAAATATATAAAATTATCTAAAACATGCATTTTGTTTTTACACAAGTTTATCTTTTTCACACATTAAATTTTGCATTATGATCTGAAATAAAATTGAGTAGATTCAATCTTCTGTATTTACTATGGTAGGACAGAGCAAAAGGAGTGTCAGCAGTGCACTCATAAAGCATTAATTTCAACATTTTAAATGCATTTTATCCTTTTCAGACATGGCCTCAGCTTGCAGCATCCTGTATGAAGAACAGGTCCTGTGTTCAATCTGTCTGGGTGAGTTCAAAGAGCCCGTCTCCACTCCGTGTGGACACAACTTCTGCAAGGGCTGCATCACCCAGTACTGGAACAGTCAGGACAATGCGCAGTGTCCACTCTGCAAGAGAAGGTTGGGTAATAAACCAGAGCTCAAGGTCAACACAGAATTCAGAGATGTGGTGGAGCATTTCAACCGCATGAGAGTACAGGGTGGACCTAAGATTGTCGCCCAACCAGGAGAGGTGCCATGTGATGTCTGCACCAAGCCGAAGCTCAAAGCCCACAAGACGTGCCTGGTGTGTTTGGCCTCGTATTGTAAGCCACATCTGGAGTCCCACCAGAACCTGAAGAAGCACAAGCTGATCGATCCTGTGTCCAACCTGGAGGACAGGGTGTGCAAGAAGCACGACAAGATGCTGGAGCTCTTCTGCCGCACAGACCAGCAGTGTGTTTGCATGATGTGTTTGAACGACGACCACACGGGGCACGAGGCTGTCCCACTGGAGCGCGCCTTCAAAGACAGGAGAGGCATGTACGAGAACATGACCTTAGAGATGAGAAAGACGGAGATCTTTTCATTTCTAAGTGTTAAAAATATCAGATGCTTTGTGGAAAAGAGCAGGGAAACTGCAGTGGATGAAATCAGAGAAACTGTACAAATTTTAACCGCTTTCGTTGCCTCCGTACAAAAATATCAGGGTGAGCTGGTTGAGGCGATTGAGCAGAAGCAGAAAGACATAGAGAAACAAGCCGAAGATCAGACAACTCTGCTGGAGCAAGGCATTTCTGGTGTGAGAAGACTACGATGTGACATTGAACAACTTATGCAGTCAGAAGACTATCTCTACCTGCTGCAGAACTACCCATTCAATGTAATGTCTGAGAACACTCATCTGATGGACCAACCTACTGACTCCATTTTGCGAATGACACAAGACATTCCTGACATTGGTCAGCATGGCCATATAGAGATGGTGAAAAAGTCAGTTGGTCAGATTGAAGAAACGCTCAGAAATGAGATGAAGATGCTGATCCAAAAGGTTAGGTCGCCTGATTCCTGTGATGCCCCTACACAGTCACACGCAGTTGAAAATATGAGCGATAATCTTCTACCCGAGCTGTGGAGTCAGCCTCAGGACGAGCTGATGAAGATCCAGCAATGCAATGCAGTGGACGTGACTCTGGACCCTTACACAGCCAGCAATTGGCTCAAGGTGTCTGGCGATGGGAAGCGACTGACCTTTTGTGGACATCAGCAGATCTTCTCCTCTTTCTTTGGCAGGCCATTTAAATACCTGCCTTATGTACTGGCAAAGGAGGGGTTTTCGTCAGGCAGGTTCTACTATGAAGTCCAGGTCAGCAACTGTAAAAGATGGCTCGTAGGAGTGGTCAAAGAGTATATTAACAGAGAGATTAACTCCATTCCTACCCCTGAGGATGGGGCGTGGATATTAAACACACCAAGAAACATGTTTCTGAATCAAATTCAGACCATCGGGGTGTTTGTTGACTACGAGGAGGCTAAAGTCTCTTTCTACGATGTGGAAGCCAGGTCTGAGATATGCACATTTACAGAAGGTTCATTCATGGAGACAACACCTCTGAGATAATGTCTTTCCTCAGTGGCAGGTATTTCATCCATTCACAGACCAAAAATATACCCTGTGTTTGGAATATATGATTATTATTATGGGGATAGTCTTGTTATCTCCCCTGTAAGAAAACCGTAAGCTACAGTAAGAGGTAAGGGGAAACATGTCTGACTATGAAGTTCAGAATAGTGTGAATCATTCTCTTAATTTTGCCAGATGGCCCCAGTAGTCTGAAAATGAGTCACCGTTTGTTGTGCATTTTCCTGCAATACTCAAATCTGACCACTAAGTGGCACTAACGTTTAATAAATGTTCAACTCCATTATTAGGGTATCAGTTCATCGGGTCCCTCACAGCAGAGGAACAAATATCTGAAGACAAAGAATAAATGAAGATCACAGGATTTTTATTGAACCAGACTAATATTACAAATATTTTTCCTCCATACCATAGCCGCAAACTTTAGTGGATTTTATCGGGATTTCAATGCTGGATTAAAACTACGCTAAGTGTGACATGCATTTCTTATTGGGACAGAGCCTCCTCTTTTTGTTCAAATACTAGATACATGTGTTATTTGCAGAATTTTTCTGCATGCTTTCTTTTATTTCAAATAACATTTCTGCTCTTGTTTGCACATTTTTTTGCGTTTTATAATTTGTTTTTTTTAAGGACAAATACACACATTTTGTACATTTTCAATTATCTTATGCTGTTGCACATTTGTTTTAATCTGAGCATTCTGATTTTAATAACTGCACAATTTCCTAATGCTGTAAACTCTTATTTTGATCTATTTTACCCTTGTGTGAATACAAATGCTTCCACTTATCTCTAACTTGCTGCTGAATTTCTTAAATCGTGACAGAAATGAAAGATGCACATCCAGCAAGCAGAAGTTCCCACTTCTGGTTAAATTAGTGGACACGGATTTAGAAAATTGCAGCAGTCCACCTCCACTGATGTGTTTTTCTCAAGGGGAACTTAAGCCAGTGGGTTATTTTTACCACAGCTTTCTGACTGACTGGCGCCCAGGGAACTGGGACACTGTAAACGTTTGACTCTGTGTCTCTCTGACGAAGGTCAACGTCTGGTTTTCTTTAGGATGATGGATAATTGTGCGGATTAGAGACATAATCCCGAAATAAGCCCAATTTGCTCTTCAAATACACTGAATTGGGCAAATACATGCAACATCTGACGTGTTGCTTTGGAGCATCAGTCTGACATACTTAGTTAAAGTCAGTTGAATACATTTTTGGAGAGAAAATTAAACCAGTTTAATGCATGATTTTGAATCTGACAACAAAAAATAATCCACAAGCTTTTCTCTGTCTGAAGTGATTGCAGGAGACATTTATGAATTTCTGAGTATGTGACAGAGATGAAAACATTCATCTGAGGCTGAAGGTTAATGTTAATGCCACTGGTATTGCTTTCTGGGCATGATGTCACAAATAATATCTATCACCAATGAACCGTGATGCCTGCTTTTGTAAAGGCCATCTCTTCTGGTGCTGATTTGATGCTGTTTGTACCACTAAGAGATGTTTTCACAGCAGAGATTACTAGTTGAGACTATATTAATTTAGCAGTTAACAAAGAGATCTTTAATTTTATTTGACTTTGGAGCCTAGTCAAATCAGATTTACAAACCTGTAAATCTTCTGTCAACTGATTCTCTCACCTGAGCTGTTGATCTCTGCAGCTCCTCCAGAGTTACGATGGGACCTCTTGGGAGACTCGCTGATTATTCTTTTTGTAAAGCCACATCTCATTTGTAAATAGACTTTTAATCCTCCTTATAATTAATATTGCATTAACTGATTTGATTTAATTTAAAAAACAAACAAACATTTAATTAGGACTGTTTTACTGCAAATTTGATAATTAAATAAAACATTTGTTTAGCTACAATTAACAAAATGTCCTCTAATAACATTTTACCAGCACTGAGATACATTTGCTTTGTCGACTTCATTCAATTTAGCTCCGAGCAATATGCTATCGTTAACTTATAATTTAAAGATTTTTGAATCCATTAATATTATGTCTCAGACTTCTGTTATCTGGCTAATAAGCAGGACGAAGGCGAAATTTAAGAGTTGTCATTTTTTAAATGTAGTTTATAGTGGCGTGCACGAGACCCAGTCGGAGCACTGGTTGGAAACTGAGCGTGTCCAGGCGCGCGCACCATCTTCCTGACGTCACGGGAGTGCCAGAGCAGGAAAGCAACCGGGAACAGTGATGGGAATTCCACCTCTTTTCCGGGATCCGTATCATTTGGCTAGGTTCAACATGAACGAAATTTATTTATTTATTTATTTATTTATTTATTTATTTATTTATTTATTTATTTATTTATATCCTGAACAACTAATTAAAATCAATTTTTGACGCTAAAATAATGCAATAAAACATCAATGGAAAAAAATCAGATTATTTTAAAATTTATACTAAGCTATGTATCACAGTAATTGTACCTGTTATTTGATAAAAGACATAAATTTGACAGCATCAAATATGTTTACCTACAAATGCATGCACAATTTATTTTTCCTCTATCCAGAGTTGCGATCTGCATTCATACCGTTGTCCACAGTATGAATGCAAAGCCTTCCCAAAATGAGCTAGCAAATATAGCCGGCTCAGCTATGGGCGGCGCATCACTAGCGGGGAAGTCACCAGTGGGAAGAGCTGGCAAAGACGGAAAAGAGGGAAAGATAGGCAGGAGATACAGACGGAGACAGGGAGACAGACACGGAAAAACAGGGAGACACCCCTTAAAGAGAGCCTCAAATCATATCTGGGATTCAGTTGCGCTCCGAGGCGTCACTTTGATGGCTGACAGCAGCAGAAAAACTGGAGAAGATCTGTGACTGGCCTTTTTTCTTCTTTCACAACGAGGGGGTCGGCACAGCCGCAGTGAGTACTGAAACTTAGCTGGCAGTCTGAAGCGGTGTGCGTATCCACGGGCATGTTTCATTACACAACCCGACATGTGTGCTTGCGTGTGGGGTTGTTTGTAAGTCATGCCGCCTCCTTCTCGCTCAGGGATAACAGGGACGTCGGGATAAACAAAATTAAAAATTGATGGCCGCAGCAGTTTCGGGTCAGCTGAGAGGAGAGGCTCTTTGACAGACTCACAACGACAGTGAGTGGAGTCATTCAGCTAAATATTGTACATGCAGCTACAGGCTTTCCCCGGTACAACAAGCTAATAACACCTCGTCTTGTCTCTCCATGCCTCTAAAGGCGATTATCTGCTGGCTGCACATGAAGCTGCTGACAGACTGAGAGCTACATTTGCACCACGCATGAGTCACTTATCAATAACTATAAGTTGCATCTCCGGTTGGGATCTTATCAGTTGAGATATTGCACATCAAGCAACTTCAAGTAGTGATTGCATTTTCAAATCAACTTGTGCAAAACCTAAAATCTGATATGATTGTGTTGATCTGGGCAGGCGGACGGTGGTGGTGCTGGTGGTGGAGGGAGGGAGCCGTGGTTTCCTCCTGGTTCCGCCCGCCCACAGCTTCATTTCGTGGCACCACCCCTGCAACATCCAGTCAGGGAACTGAGCTGCTTCCTTCCACTGTAGTTTCTGTAAACACTGGACAGATTTACAGTGCCTTGCACAAGCGGTCACACCCCTTTAGCTTTTCCACGTTTTGTTTTCAAACTTTAATGCATCTTAGTGGGATTTGTGAAGGGGGTTCATAATGGTTTCTCCACAATGTGCATGCTTGTGCGGAATCCACCCAAGTCAGTACTTTGTAGAACTCCACAACTCCCCGTGTGTTTTCTGTCAGGCTCTTTCTAGAAAATTGTTGGAGCAGATATTCGTCCAAAACCTGCTGAACATCGAACTGCTCTTTTACAGAGCCAACTGTTGCTGCACTTTCCGCTGCAAGACTTTCTATGTATTCATTCTTCCTTGTAAAGAGATTGAGTTCAGTCGGCTGCAGAGGGATGTTTGTTTTCCTTCCCCTTCAAAATTATGCACAACAAAAACAATCATGAGGCGAATTAAAGTTTGTACGTGCAGCGTGACATAATGTCCGAGCATCCTTAAAAAGTCTTAAATTTATGTAGCTAAAATTAAGGCGAATTTATTAAGTTTACTTTTTTTTAAAAGTAAGTTGGCATTTAATATGTCAATCATAGGACTATTTAATCTTGCATATTCTATGTATTTTTATTTCTCGCGGGAGTTTGGGGAGCATTCAGACGTCTTTTCGAGACCGCTAAATAGCTAACTACCCTTTCTAGCTAGCTAGCGAGCAGGATAGCTTTTTGCGACTATCTTGGGTAAGTGCGAATTTATTTATCTGTATATTTCTGTGGATATATTTGTCTTAAATTCAATTCATAATGGCCTTAAGAAGTTGGAGTTGGTGAAACCCGCAGAAACTCTGAAGTGAAAAAGTTTATTTTGCAGAGTACAGTACTGTAAATGTCCACACTACCCACAAACTTCAATAGTTAACTTATGCAGCATCTGAGAAGAAGTCCCACATCAAAGGTTATTGAAATCCCTCGAGGCCTTCATGGTTTTACATTAACATGATGGACCTGAAGTAGAGAGAATCGTCTTCAAACAGTCTAAAAATATATTTTTACTAGTCAGGCAGGTGGCTTGAGGTCCCTTCAGTCAGTCGGGAAACACTTGTTCATATTAGTTTATTTCTTTTCGTTAATGTGATGAGAATTACTGCTACCTCTTGGTTTCCTCCTGTTTAACCTGGCAAGTTGACTGTGCAAACACATTCCTATCCCTATAATAGGCCTGGAGGAGTTCGGCTCTCCCTCTTGCTCTCGCCTGGATTAGTTTTGCACTTCCCCTTCTTTTATCTTCTTTTGTGTTAATTATCAAGTCTCAGCAGTACATTTGCTCTTTTTTTTCCTTTTTGCTCAGGAAAACAGCAGCCAGGATTAGATAAGCAGAATGTGAATCTGTGCATAGATATATAAAAAAGTGACGTGATGTGTGAACCTTTTGATTATACGGGTGTTTTGCTTGCATCATGACTTCACTTCCTGTGGTCCACAGTAGCCTGGAGCTGATCCTATCTGTTCGGTATCAGTGTTGTGCTCTCCTGTGTTTA